CCCCGCCCGCTCCCCGCCCGCTCCCCGCCCGCTCCCCGCCCGCTCCGCCTGCCCCGGCGGGCGGGCGTGACCCTCTGAGGGGGCGGGGCGGGTTGGCGAGTTGGCGGGAGCCGGCAGTGAGGGACTGCGGGCGGTTCCGTCCCGGCTCCGGAGCCCGGCGCGGCGCTGGTGCCGGGCAGCAGCGGGTCGGAGGTGCCGCTGTAACGAGGTGCCGCTGCCCGAGCTCCTGAGCCGCGCCCCGCTCTCGCCCGGCTCCGCCATGGGCTTCCCCGAGAGAAAGATAAAGTTTCCCGCTCGGCGCGTGCCCGCACCGGGAAGCCTCGCTGTGTAACCTCTTCCCCTCACCTCGCCCCCGTGTAGGCGCAACATGGTGCTGAGCGCGGACCAGGTGGCCCTCATCGGGCAGGTGTTCGAGTCCTACGTGCTGGAGCACCACAGGGACGACATCCTGGGCATCCTGAGGGAGGCGGACGACCAGGCGCACTACCCCGTCGTCGTCGATGCCTTGACGCTCTTCGAGACCAATATGGAGATCGGGGAGTATTTCAACGCCTTCCCCAGCGAGGTGCTCCCGATTTTCGACAGCGCCCTGCGCCGGGCTGCCCTGGCAGCGCTGCAGGACACCGCGGACCCAGCACAGCTCAGCCTGAAGCAGAACCTCCACGCCAGGGTCTCGGGTGAGTGGCGGGGCAGGGGCTGCAGTGAGCTGCATCTCCCAGTCAAGTTTCCTTACTCTGGAACAAACTATTGGGGTGCCATGGGAATGAGCAAGTTTAATTCTTGCCGTTTCACTGTTTGAAGCGGTAGGGAATCTTTAGCGTCTATTAAGCAGGAAAGAACACATGCAAATACGTGGAGGTGTGTAGACCAACCCTCCCAAAAAAGCTATGGCCATTGCCACTGACCTGCATGCAGTGATTGGCATTTGTTGGGTCAGGGCTTTATACTAAAGCCTTTCCATGGCAAAGACTCCTCACATCAGCAGCTGGTCTTACATTATTTCTCTTCTAGACAGAAGGTCTAAAGAAAAGTTTTAGGGGAAGATATATGGTTTGTAAGTTTAATTGCAGGTTGACTTTGCTACTGTGCCAGTTGGCTCATCTTCTTTTTTTACTCCAGCCACCTCCCAAAAGAGGCAAAGTCAAAATTTTGAGTTGTCTTGTAACAATTCCATTTGAAATTGTTGAATTTTATGCTTAGCTGTAATTAAATTGCTTGTTATAAAATTGGAATGAACTGTTGAAAGGCGTGATTGTTAACAGGGAACTTTGTCATTTTTTCCACTGCAAGTTGATATGCCGTTATTCCTTATTAATAAGAAATTTCTAGTAGCTTTGAGGGCTGGTAAGTGTGGAGTGCAGATTCAGGAGTTAAAATGTCTGTTTTGCCTGCTTTGGGAGACTGGGTCAGTGGTGGCATCATCCCTTCTGATAATTTCTGGTCATAACTATTTGGAGCAATAGTCCACAAAGCCAAGAGGTGGCACCCTGTGTTTCCCTCCCCTGCCCTCTTGTGGAGTGGATTGTGATCATTCAGTCTTTTGACATCTTGGACTTGGATAAATTACAGTTGTTAAATAGGCCTGTGTTTCATTCCAGTAAGTTTCAATAAAAATGTTGTAATGAAAACACATCCATTAGAAATACAATTAGCCTGTGGCTCTCACAATGCTATTTTTTCAAGATTTTTAGAGGGAAAGAAGTTAAAAAAAAATAAGGCTTGCTACCAATTCAGTTGTTAAGGAGCTTGTACACAACTGCTGAGTACGTGATGTAAAAAAGGATGACCTCCGTGCTTACTGAAATTTGTCACTGGGCATCTCCCTGTACCTATGAAAGCAGGAATGAATTAAAACTCTCCTCCTAGTGTTCTAGAATGCATGTGCATCATTCAGAGCTTCAGCATGAGAAAAAGACTCCAAGTAGGATTATTTTAAAAGCTAGCAGGAAGTATTAGAAGAGGTACAGCAAGGGGCAGATGATCACTGCATGAGTAGCGGTGTCTTTAAGACATTCCTGCTCCTGTTATCAGCCTGTTACTGGAGCTGATCATTCCTCCCACAGTGATGTTTTGTCTGAATATTCCCTTATAAACCTCAGGCAAAATTAGCAACGTTTGATCAAGTAGTTTTAATAACTGATAAAAGCAAGCCTGACAGAAGAAGTCAGCAGACTACAAATAACCCTCTCACTAAGCTGGAGGGAAATTGATGAACAGGGGGGTTATCCTTGAGTGGTCCAGCTGGATCAAAATAACATCTGTCCACATAGTTTAGTTAATGTTCTGTACCACTGAAAGGCTGGCTTCGGAAGAAACAGAAGAAATAAGCTAAGGGATCTGTAGCCTTCTTTCCACACCAATTTTCCAATGATACTGTTACCTTTTAAGTGGATTCTGGGTTTTGATTACCTTCAGGATTCTCCTCTTGGAGTGCCACTTCCCATTCCTACATTGGATGAGAAGGGAATGAGAAGGCGGGGCATTATTTTTGGTGAGAGCAGCAAACAACTAACTGGAGTGCGGCTGAGGGGATCTTCGTGTCAGGCATGGAATGAAGTGAGGAAAAGTGGTTTTGCTTATGCCGGGTATAAGAATGCAGTCTCGACACACTGCTACCAGTACATCTAGGAGTTCAGAGAGGGATTCAGGGAGTGTGCAGCAGTTAATAACAGATGATTACCTTGGGTTAACTGAAGAAGGTAAAAGATGAAGTTATCTGAATTTTAGCATTGTAGGAATTTGATTGTGTAACTTCTGCATTTTGCTACAAATCCATGAAATGATTTTTCCTTACCATTAGCCTGAGCACCGCTGTGTCCATTACTGAAGGCCAAGCTGCTTCTAATAGTTCAGCGTTTTTGTGACTGATACAGTAAAGTTGATTCAAAGAGGCACATACTCAATTAAAGAGTTCGTCAAGCAGTCTGATATGATCAGAACAAAGGCTCTTTTTTCACATCCAGACTCTTGTCTCTTCAGAATTCACAGGGATGATCATCATACATGCTGACAACAGTGCTGCAGTTTTCTCTAGTGTAAGATGTGTTGTATTTTGCAAAGTTTGTTGAGGGGCACCAATACTGAGCTGGGAAAAAAATGCCAAAACAGTTGGAGAAATAATGGAATTTTTTTCCCTGAACTGATTAGAAATGGGAGAAAAAAAAATGCAACAGGTTTGGTAGAACATGTAAATAGCTTTGCTAGAGTCAACCAGGACAAAATTGTTTGCAGTTTTACAGATTATTTAATTCCTTTCTACGTTTTCTTAACTTTATTCTTTTACCTTTTAAAATTAGCTTAATAGTTAAAAATATTTTCTTTAAACAAAAGCAAAAGGTTAAACGTTGCTTAAAAGCATCAAAACAGAGTGTTTCAGAGTGTCTGAAATAAAGCATTTAGTTTTGAAAACACTGATATAAACATATGATATCTTTTTTTTAGCAGTCAAAGCTCCTAAGAAGATTTGACCTAGATGCACAAATAGTTTTAGTCCCCTTAGAAACATCATTTCCCAACAGATTTGTAATTTTACATCTCTATTTTCTGGCTCTGTTTTAAAGCTAAGAAGTTATTTTAGGAGTAGGTAATATCTTTTTAAGTTGATAAATATTAGTATCTTGTAGTTCATTACTACTTTCTGAAGAGGCAACATTGTGCTCAGGTGATCATTTTAGAGATATGTAAAGTTGAGGTAGATTAATTTTCCTGAGGACTTTAGCCACTGTGGTGCCAAGTGATGGCTGCATGAGTGAATGCCAGAACAGGATCAGGACACCACTGAATTGGCTGTTGGGGTGGAATTAAAGGAGGGCAGGTGGAAAGTGTTCTGTCACTATTCACTTGAACTTACAAGTGAATTTGCTTTGGTTGTGTTCAAAACTCCTTTACATTTTTTTTATGCTGTCTTCCTTGTGCTTGAGCTTTACTGGTATGCAATGTGGATTTAAGGTCAAATGCTCACCAACTGCGAATTTTAAATTTGCTTAGACTTGAGAATTCACACAATACTAGGAGCTACAGCTGTTTAACTATGGAATAACATTGAACTACAATTAAGTAGCATGACTAAAATTTTGTAAGTCAGATAAACTAGTTGTGGAATAAATGGCTTCTGCAAAAAGAACATTTAAATTAATAAATAGATCTGAGAACATCAGGATCTTCTTCCATGAATGGAAACTGTTCGTGACTATTCAGCCCTTGGCAAGAGAGGGAGAGTAAAATGGCAACATTTTCAGTTAATGCTCAGTGTCTGATGATTTTCACTATCTGAGGCCAGTGAATCAGATTTATGGTACAACAGATGAATTGCTGAGTCACATTTATGAAACAGTAATAACAATGGCTACTGTTCATATGTCTGGCATATTTTCTAGCCTTTCTGTTTAACTGCACTGTAAGTCCATGTTTTATATGCACAGCCTTATGCTGCACATATTTCTGTTTAACAGGTTTACCTGTTTGCCCAGAGCTGACTCGAGAGCACATTCCTAAAACCAAGGATGTTGGTCACTTTTTGTCTGTTACTGGGACTGTCATACGTACCAGCTCGGTGAAAGTTTTGGAGTTTGAACGGAGTTACATCTGCAACAAGTGCAAGCACGTGTTTGCTGTCAAGGCTGACTTTGAACAGTACTATGCATTCTGTCGTCCATCAGCCTGTCTTAATGAAGAAGGCTGCAACTCAATCAAGTTCACTTGTCTCTCTGGATCAGCCTCTTCTCCTACCTGCTGCAGAGACTATCAAGAAATCAAAATTCAGGAACAGGTAAGGAAAAAAAAAAGATGGAGAAAAAGGGAAAGGTATTAAAGTATAGATGTCTCAAGTACAAAAATAATTAACTTACAAAAGAAGACATTTGGGGGTCTAATTTCCTGTTGAAATAAGG